CTGACAACGAAGCCTCCTTGTTACATGAACTCGATCCATGTCCCTGCCACTTTTCATTCCCCTTTGGAATTGCATCTCTCTTAAGTCATGAATCCAATCCAGGAAGCCTCCCATGACTTCAGGGTGCCAGGCAGGCCGTGGGTACCATGGGCAGACTAGACCCAGGTGGGTCATTTCATCAGGATTAAAATATGTATCTTCAGAAGCAGGGAAAGAACAGCCACAAAACCGAAGATCTGGGGGAATTTTTGCTTTCATTTACACAGACTGATTTTTTTTTTTTTTTGTAAGTGCCACACCAGCTGAAGCAGCATTTCAATAGAATTTAGTTGGAAGTGTCCAAGGCCAGGTTAGATGGGGCTTGGAGCAACCTGGGCTAGTGGGAGGTGTCCCTGCCCATGGCAGGGGGTGGCACTGGGTGAGCTTTAAGGTCCCTTCCAACCCCAACCAGTCTGTGATTCTGTGCTTCTGTGATCCCTTAAGAATCTTGCTATATCTTAAGAACCATAAGGAGATGGACTCTTTTCTTTAGTGGACACAGAAATAAGGGGGGTTTTGGGCGGATTTCTCCCCCCCCCCCCCATTTGTGGCTCTCAGGCTCCTTTCAGGTGTGTCTTCTCACGGGCTGGGTCTGATCCTCACCAGCCAAGTGACGTTGTTGTAGTTGTCCCAGTCTTTGCAGAGATCCAGTGGTTCCCTCTGCAGCAGGACATGGCCTCAGCCATGGATATAAAGCTGACCAAAGAGCTGTTAAACAACCAGGTGTCTGTCATCGGGGAGGGCTCCGAAATTCGGGTTTTATCCACCCAAACTGTTCCTATCAGGGAGCTGGGGGTTGGTTCCCATTTGGTGGCAATTTCTGTCTGGTTGGCAGCATGCAGGTGGAAAGGAGCCAAGTTTGCTCTCAGGATGACAGTTTGCTAACAGATGTCTAATGTTTCCCAACACAGTTGGCTCATGTGATGGGAATCGTGAGCTAGTTTAGTAAAGCTGAGCAGTTGGATAATTGCAAACCTTTGCTCCTCACATGTTCTCATTTATCCCTTTTAGCTGCCTAGGTGAGATGGTTGTTTAATCATTTTTTTTTTGTTTTATTTGTGGTTCTGGGAGGAAAAGCTTGGGGTAGCTCTCGGAGCAATCACTGTGCTAGGAGGTGATGGCTCACTGAAATGGTTGGGAACCTCCAGCAGTGCAAGAAGCCACATGATTTCCTCTCCCCTTGTGCATAGCAGGCATTGCCCAAACGCTTGGGCCGTGGTTCCTGTGCTGCCATTCCAAAGAGATGGGACATGTGGGTGATGGTATTTACTCCTGAGCCCCCTGATCACTCAGGTTTCTTCCACGTGATGCCTCTCTGTGCCCAAGAGGAGCTGGAGCAAGGCAGCTCCTTAGGAGGATGTGTTTCCTTTGCAGGGAGAGAAAGAAGTGGTGTTGCCAAGGCCCAGCTCTTCCATGGGAGCACATGGATACCCCTCAGGGCAAGGTGGCTACAGAAAGCCACTGAGGCCTCAGTAGGTCCCTCTGTCATTCAGATTTGCAGGGAACCTTGGAGAAGAGCCTGAGGGGTTCTGCAGGATGCTCCTGTTTCACTTAGATCTGAATCCCTCTTTCCCTGTGCTGGTTCCTGATGTCCCACCTCTCCTGTCAGCCCCAGCTCTGCCAGCCTCTGTTTGCTGTAGGGTAGGTGACAAAACCCACTATCAATAAGCAAAAAAAAGAGTGCATTGGGAATTGATTCCTGGCCTCCCACGAGCTCTTGTGGGAATCGCAGCCTTCGTTTTTAAAAGGTCTTTATTAAAGCACCAACTTTTCCTTGGTTTTCCCATTTTTCCCAGGTATCTTTTCTTTTTGTGTGCTTCCAGCTATGATTCTCCTGGCATTTTGGCCTGTGAGCCAGCACAGTTACCAAAATATCCAGAGAAGGGTTCTCTCTTACTTACCCCTGATTCAGCTAGAGACACACAACCCCAGGAATCCCAGCCCAGGACATTCCAGCCTTTCCTCTGTGTCACTCCAGCACCTCACTGACCATGCCAGGAACGCTGATCCTGCCCTGGGCTTGCCCGAGGTGTCTTCCCAACACACCTGTCATTTATTAATTTAGGAACTAAATCACCAACTCTTCCAGAGGTCAGGAAAGCGTTTTCCCCCCTGGAAAGTTTGGGAACACCAGCACAAGGCTGCGGATTTAGAATAAAATTGATGGAAGTTTGGGGGTATTGCAGAGCTGTCTGGTCACAATCCTGTGCCACATGCTCTGAGATGGGAGCAGGGAGGTGGGACCAGATGCTCCACTGTGGTCCCTTCCAGCCTGACCCATCCTGTGACTATCCCAAGGATCCTCCTCAGTATCTTTATCCTGGTCCAGAACTGAATGTTTTCCTACAGACACACCAAAATTAACATTTCAACTATTCCTGTATTTCTTGGCACTGCCCTCCCAGTGCCTTGAAAGAGTCTCTTTACTTTTGGAGGTGATAAATATGCCATCACATATGTTTGTCCCTATAAATGTGTGGAGCGAGGAGCACACGCTGGAAAACCCTGGGAGTTTTAGGGAGCAGCAAACTCAGCTTAAGCAAGTTGGAGGACAGGAGGTGAATTCCTGTTCTAAATTTCAGGATAAGGATCATACCCCCCCAGTTTCTGATTTAGGAGATGGCAGGGGAATATTTGCATTTTGATCTTTCTGTTGGAGTTATTTATCCTTAAGCTTTGCAGGAGTGAAGTGCATAACAACTGTAAGTTTGTAGGAATTTGGTGTTAACCTGGACTTTGACCCTTGTAGGTGGGAATAAAACAGAATTCAGCTGGGGCTGTTGTTAGTAGGCATGAGAAGGGCTTGTTTGTTTGATTTTGCCCGTGTTTTGGTTTCACTGTTTATTTTGGGCATTTCTTTTGTGTTTTGGATGCTTGTGGCACCTCTGGAAAAACTGCATCCAATCTGTTTCATCTACCTGCGTGTACAAACTCCACCTGAGCAGAGAATTAGCCAAGAGATTTCCAAGAGCAATGATGAGAACGCTGCAAGTACATTTTCTAAGCAAAATAACACCTGAACCCCTCTTTTTACATGTTCCAGTGAAAACCCAGAAGCTTTCAGCTTGCACAGCCTGGTCTGGTGGAAGGTGTCCCTGCCCGTGGCAGGAAGGTTGGAACTAGATGGTCTTTAAGGTGCCTTCCAAGCCAACCCATTTTTTGCCTCCTGACCTGAAGTTTGGCTGTTGAAGGGGAATCTTCCGTGCTGGGAATTCACCTTCATAACAATTATAAATCGTTAAGGGTGTTTAACTGGTCTGTACCAGTGCTCTAATTTTTTATCCCGAAAATTAGAGCCGTCTCTTTGCTCTGTCACCCCTAAAACGACGTGTCTGCTGTGATTTAGAAGGGGATGTCTGAACATGTGGTGGATTCAGCGGAGGTGTTCTGGTGGCTGGTTTAATATGCAGCTCGTGAGGAGCACGGAGCGATCAATAACAAGGTTATCCCAAGTTCAGAGCAGGCTCTGCGCTCATTGGTTTCCAAAGTCGGATGCATCAGGAGCAAGGTCACCCAGGGGATCTGGTGACAGCATAAATAATAAAGCAGAGCTGAAGTAATTTGCTGACAGCACCACACCCCCCTCCCCGAGAGAAAATTGTGCTTTATTGCATCGGGTCTGGGGCTCGATGGCGAGACCTTTCGCATTTCTTGACACCGATTTTTCCCCTTTTCGCTTGAAAAATGATGGGTCTTTGCTCTCTGTCCCCCAGTGTCATTGGAGTTTTAAATAGACTAAGGAAGGTGGTTTGAAGGGAATCAGTCAGGAAATCAATTGCAAGCTGCTAATGAAATAGAGACAGGCCGTGACGGACAGGGGCCGTTCAAAAGCTGGCCGGGTGGATTTGTGTGTCCGTGGTTCCCACCGGGACGGTTTGTCACTCCGTTACCCTGCTCGAGTGAAGCCTCCAGGTGAAACAGGTGATTGTAGTCTGTTAATTGCTCAAATTAAGTCCTGCAAACCACCCAGCTGCCCCTGTACACCCTCCATGCCTCCCTCCATAATCCAGCCAACTCCCTTTTCCCATACAAGTCCGTGCTGCCACCGGCCAAAGGTCGGGCGCTCGCGGGGACTCTCCGGCAGCTGAATGTCACATTTTATTGAGAGGGTGGATCCTGTTCATCCATTTCCCCTCCGAGCCTTTTCTAAAAATAGCACGAACCTTAACAAGGAGCTATTTTGGAGGACTCGTGTTCATGGGGGTAGTCATGGGAAGCTTATTTTGGCAGGCTTGCATGTGTTTGATTTGCATGCTACCCCTGGTCAGGGGCTTTGGTGGACGCCTGTGGGAGCCAGTTGGACACGGGCTAAAGACAGGGAGCATCTGGATTTTGGAACCTGGGTTGGGACAGCTACTCCGAGTGAGTTTACAGGAGGAAAAGAAGGGAAGATATCCTCATAGGAATGTTGATATGTGACTGAAGTCATTCATTTCAGGCATTTGCACACCAGCCCACAGCTTATCGGATCTGATTTCATAAAACCTGGCTGTGATTTCTCTCCAGGGACCTTAATGATCTTGCCATTTCCAATAAACATTTATAGAAACTACTGCCGGCCTGTGGATAAGAGAAACTCCTATGAGAGACTTTTATCTTCCAAAAATACTCAAAGACACCAAAAAAAAAAACCAAACCAAAACCCAAAAAAACCAACCAAACCAGGCAGGAGAAGATCACCTGAAAATGCCCGGCGGGTGGCTGGAGCTGAATTGCAGTGCCAGGCGTTTGCTTTGTGGCCATGCCTAGGGGAGGTTTGCTATTCCCCCTTGGAAAACCGGAGCGAGGCTGGAACTGGGACCAGCAAAAGCCCATGAGCAAAAGCAAACCCTAAGAGCCCCGATGGCCACGCGGCAGGTAAAGGCTGCGCCCCCGCGCTGGCGCCGGGCGGGCGCGGTGGCACACGGTGCCCCTGGCTGCACCTCTAAGAAATTTCCCTTTTTTCGCCTCAAAACCTCCAGATACGAAGCCGAAGCTGCCTTCTTTGCCAACCTGAAGCTGGCCGACTTCAACATCATCGACACCCTGGGAGTCGGAGGCTTCGGCCGAGTGGAGCTGGTAGGTGACCTTTCTTCTTATTCCTGGCATCAGCCCTGTGTTGTGAGCCCTCTTTTTTCTTAATTACACCTGAATTATATGATGGGATGGTGTGTTTTCTAATGGGTGAAGAAAGATAAAGCGTGTTCCCCGAGAAGTAAAAAATGTACAAAGAAAGCTTTGCAGCAACGAGAAGAATTTATGTGGTGGGCTGAGAGAGATTAACACCAAGGTTGTGGGTTTGATCCCTGGATGGGCCACTCACTAAAGAAATGGATTCAAAGATCCTTATGGGTCCCTTCCAGCTCAGAATATTCAGTGATTTTCTCTCTAAGTGGTTCATGGCATTGATTTATGGCCTTTTAAAAACAACCTGTGTGGCTGTTGAGCACTGGGATTAAAAAGGCAACCTAAAATCTTAGCGGAGTAAAGGTACCACGTCGCTCCTAAGCAGTTTCTAATTCAGGTCTAGAGATAGTGCTTCTGACAGCTGTACATTCAGTGCCTGCACCGTGGCAAAACATCCCAGAAAGCTACTTCACTTGTTGCAGAACTGTAGAGAAAAGACAAAGTCTGAGCTTGCTTTTTGCTCTGTTAGATTTTGAGCTCTTTGTTGAGGCAAAGCCTGAGTGGCCCGTTTGTAACATCCCATCAATACAGAAACTGAGAATAGAAAGAGGGAGGTATTTTACACCACAGAGGAGCTTCTGACACCGGACACTGGCAGAATATGTCAGGAACTCCTGCAAGTTAGGGGCAGAAAAGGAGCAGAGTTACTGTTGCCATCACAAAATTTCAGGGAAAGCCCTGCTCTGGAGCCCTGTGGGAACCAAATGCACCTGTAGTGCTGGGAGATGGAAAATGGGCAAAATGAGGTGTTTTGGTGACTGTTTGGGAGGTGACCAGTAAATTCTGTGTTCAGAGCACAGCTCCCCTGGGATTTATTTCTGACTTTTCCTGGTTGGATGTCTATAAAGTCGTGCGGAGGAGAGAGTGTCTGGGAGAGTGTCGGTCCCTTCCTGGGGTTTGGGGTTTCCTTTGTTATTTGTTTGCTGTTAGCAACTGTTGTTTTGGAAGAGAGTCCCAAGAGCTCCCTCATTCCCTTTCCCTGCTCCTTCTGTAGTCATCAGCTGAGGATGCCTCAGAGCAGGAGTTTAATCCAGGTTGTGCCCTTTTGAAGTCCCTTCACCTTCATCTCAGCAGCCTCCAGGAAGCCCTGAACCTGCTGATGGCAAAAGCATTTCTATCACCTCATAGGGGTTTTCTTCAGGGGTGGGTGCCCCTCTGCTAACCAGGAAAATGCTGGTTCAGCTCATTTTTAGCTAATGCTGAATTGCACCCAGAAGGATAAAAGACATTTAAAAGTGCAGCTCGACGCTGCAGGTTTTATTGTTTTTCTTTACCACAGAGGGAAATGTTGTAAAACCAAGAAAATATTCTTTTTGTCAAAACAGAGCCTAAAATTGCTTCCACCTCCTCCATGAAAAACATGGGTTTATTATTTCAGGCTAAAAATGGAACGAAATGTAAAACACGGTGGAGGAATTGACTCTTTTATTGCCTGTGTGTGTTACAGGAGCCTGTTAGTGCAGGAATGTTCCTGGAAAACATTCACATTTTTGTGCTTTCCAAGAGTAAAATTGATGAAATAAGTACATTGCAAGGAGGAGGATTTTTATAGTGTGGGCAAGATCCCCCAGGATCATCCCCCATACCACTCAAGAGGGCAACTGGTGGTTGCTCTTCCTCATCCCTAACTGGACTTTGTAATTAACTTTTATCCAGGTTTCTCTTGAGGGCATAAACCATGCAGGGTTGGAGAGACCACAGTCTGCCCTGAAAATAATAGGAGTGGACTTTTTGGGATGCACCCACTATTTTTTGCAGCTCAGCTTCTCTGCTTTGGGTCAGTTGAGCATCTCCTGTGCTGGGCCCCGGGTGCCTCAGTAACACATGGGAATAGGGAGTGTCACCTCCTGTTCATGTCCTGCTTTGCAAAGGACAGGGATGTGGGTCAGGTGTCCCCAGCACTCACAAATCATCTCTCCTGGACTTTATTGCTCTTGTCTTTGGGCCTTAATTTCCTTTTCATTTAAGTCCTGTGCTCCCAATTGTCTGCCCCAGGTCAGTTCTTTTGGGTTTAGATCAAGATTATTTTTGACAGCTCTGAAATAAATACGTGGGAGTATCTGAACATATGGGATTAGAGCCATTACTGCCTTGAAATCAGTTTGTGTAGGTGGTGGCTGAGCACAGGTAAAATTCAGGTCCATGTCCTCTGGAAGGCACCCAGCTTGGCACATCCTGGGGCTGCAAAGGACCTGCAGATCCCATCCTGCAGCAGAGTCAGATATTCCTAACCACTGCTGATCAGTTTTCCCTGATTTCTTCTTGAAGTCTTTAGGGAAGGAGGTCCCCAGGAAGTTTTACTCCTAATATTTATTGTCTCCCTGCTGTAGCCCTACCTGGAAACACAAACACATACAGCTGGTGAGGTTGGGTTGGGTGGATTTGAAAACCATTATCACCTGAACCTGAAGAACTCTAAAGGAATAAATGTGCTTTTGAGCTTTACATCCTGAGCAGGGGCAGGACCCAGGGAATGGCTGGAGCTGTGCCAGGGCAGGGTTAGGTTGGATCTTAGGGAAAGGTTCTTCCTCCAGAGGGTGGTTGGGCACTGAACAGGCTTCAATTTGTAAAAACTGCTCTAAATTCCCTTCCTTTTCTCAAAAATCCTCCCAGCTCTCTCTGGCTTGATTTTAATAGTTGCAAAGTTACTAAAATTCTTCTTATTTTATAATGCAAGCCATTACTGCATGTTTTTTTATATGCTACACAGACCCCCTTGAAGTCTTTTTGGCTTGATGGGGACCACTAAAAGCAAAACCCCTTTATAATATGGAGATGAGTAAAGGCACACATGAAACCACACACATAAAGTTTCAGCCACATTTTATGGGGGCCATACAAGACCTTTTTTAAATGGACACTAGGACACTTTTCAGTTGTATTTGGGTTTTAAGAGGAATCTGGCCACAGATTTTGAAGTGCAATCAAATCTATTGCAGCCTCTAGCCCGTTTTGTAAACAAAGCCATTAGTGAATTAATTAGATGGCAATGAAAAGAAGCAGTGCAATTGTCTTCCTATGGCCTGACAGATGCAGAATTCAGATATTTATTAGTGGAAGTTTCCAATTGTATGTCCCAGCTGTTACAAAGCTCTTTCTATTAGAAAGGTCTGTTTTTGATTTGGAATCCCCTAATTTTTATTTTTAATTGTTAGGATTGACCTCTGGCTGTGCCAGGGGAGGCTCAGGTTGGCCAGGAGGAGGAATTTGTTGCTGGAAAGGGTGGTGAGGCCTTGGCAGGGGCTGCCCAGGGAGGTTTGGAGTGCCCATCCCTGGAGGTGTCCCAGGAAGGCCTGGCCGTGGCACTCAGTGCTCTGGGCTGGGGGACAAGGTGGGCATCGGGCACAGGGGGGACTCAGTGACCTTGGAGGGCTTTTCCAGCCTGAATGATTCTGGGATTCTGTGAATTCTTTGGCCTCCATCCTTTTGTGGGAATGGGCCTTTTTGGGTGCCATCAAGGGGAAGAAGTGGATTTAAGAGAGGGATTCAAGTAAATCCCACATTCATGTGACAACAAAACTGCTCCTCCTGAGCTCACACACAAAACGCTGGTTAGGATGATTTGTCTCTTTTTCCCTCATCCCTTCTCAATTTCTTGCAGCAGATTCCCTTCCTCAGGGTATGCAGGAGCTTCATTTCAGCCACCCAGTCAGGTGGGGCTGCACCACTGCAGAGCTGTTTTTTTGTAGCTGTTCCTGGATTTTGAACTCCTGTTGACATTCAGTGCATCCTTTGTTGATGGAAACATGTTCTCAAGGCCTGTCTCTTGATGGGAAGGGTCTTGTCAAAGTTTGGGAAGCTGAGATGTGTTCACAGCCCGTGAAACAGGGGCAGAGGCTGGATCAGGATATGAGCTGTACAGCCAGAGGCTGCAGCCCCTGTTGGAGGAAGGAATAAGCCATAAAAAGAGGTGCTATTTTGCAAAGAAAGCCAAAGTGGGGAGCAGAGCAGGGTCATTATGGGGTTTGATGGAGTTTGGGTCCATTTGATATTTTCAAGGCACCACAGCAGCGGGTTTTTCCATTGAGTCTCACATATTTTAGCCATATAACCCTTCTTCCACTGTTTGCTTTTTATGGGAATGATTTTATGCATGAAATCGTTGACATTCCTCACTGCTTTTTAGCCTTTTGCCTCTAGACGTTTTTGAAAGATAATATTTACCTCTGGGCTTTACAGGAAGACACACATTTGAATATATTTTCCCAGTGCCCTTTGCTCATAAAAAAACTTTGCTGTGTGTCTTGACAAGCACCGAGAACAAATTTTCAGCAGAGGGATCAAAATGTAGAATTGAAGGGGTTTAGCAGAGTTGATTATTTGATTAGAAGTTGTTAAACAGCCGAGATTTTCCAAGGATGGTGCTTTTTTTAGTGTGTGTTTCTAGAGTGTAGTTTTGCAATTTATTTCCCTGTAGAGTCTCAGAGCACTCCCGTTGTGATACAATATTTAGTGCTTTCCCAACCAGTGGAATCCAGACTTTTCCAAAGAAAATAAGGTCACTGTCGTGGACACTTTCCACCCTGATGCCCACTTGGAGTTCGTTCTGGATTCATCCTTCAAAACCTCAGCCTAGAGCTCGTCTTAAAGGCTTCAAATGAAGCCTCCATGATTTTTCTTTATATCTTATTATAGAATTACAGGATGGTTTGGGTTGGAAGGGACCTTAAAGCTCATCCAGTGCCACCCCCTGCCATGGGCAGGGACACCTCCCACTAGCCCAGGTTGCTCCAAGCCCTGTCCAACCTGGCCTTGGACACTTCCAGGGATCCAGGGCCAGCCACAACCTTTCCAAGCAACATCTTAGGTGTTTTTTTTTTAAGTCTGGACTGATTTTCCAGCCTAACCCAGACCCATCTCCCTGCCTGTTCCACTCACAGGTCACCCAAAAT